CACGACCCACGGCTTAAGGAGTTTCGCCCCTAAAAAGAGAAATACTAAAGATGGAAGGTGCCCGGCGTTCACAAACTTCCTCTGACACTGCTCCCTCTTCATTGTGGCATATTCAAAATTTCAAATTTTAATTCATATTTTCATTTTAACTCATATTTCAAATTTTAGTGCGAAATCTGTGCTTGCGGACCTGCGAATCAGAAATGACAGCATATCCACGGGATGAATGTTGGAGAGGGCGGCGAAACTGGGTCCGCAAGCCCCTGCCGCGCCGCTTCGGCCTCCCGTTTGTCGTACAGCAGGGTCCTAGCGGCGCCGCCGTGCAGTTTCGTGGCGCGCTTCTGCCTCGCGTGCTCACACGTCGGGGTCCCATCTTCGAGAGCGAGCCGCCACCGCACTGCGCGCACGCCGCTCAGCTGCCTTGTCCACCCTCCGCCACTGAGCCTCTGAATGCGCGCGCGCGCACCAAAATGGCACTTTTATTGTACTATAGAGTGCCCCCGGGCGTACGGCGCCGCCGAAAAACACACGACCGTAGTTGCACAATTGTCTCTTTCTCCTTCCGTACGTGTGACGTCAATCCTTCTTTTCTACAAGTAACGGTCTCTAGTGTCGTACCATTTGCATTATCAGCGTATCGTACAAGTGCCACCCTCTATGGCCGGTTCGAGAATTAACGAGGGGTGGTTACCAACAACGGGGATGCACAAGCCACGCCATAAGGAGCTTCGCCCCTAAAAGAAAAACAATTTTACGGCGCAAATGATTTATTGGTATCCGCCAAGGCTCAAGTTAGCGGCCACTGTGCGCTAACGCGTGTCTTGCCGGACACCAATAAAGTTTCGCCCCCGCCCACCAACCGCACAAGCACTCAGTACAAATATTTAACCAGCGAAAGCTGAAACGGGCGGCTCCTTGTTTATCAATGGGTTCAACCTGACGTGGCCCTGAAGCCATTCACAATTATGGTTACAAGTTCGTGCTTCTTAATGAGGTTAGACACGTTTGGCTTAGTTTAACACCGTGTTCATTTTCCATGCCGCACATTGTGCCTCACTTGATCACGGCCATGAAGAGAGAGAGAGAGAGAGAATTATTTTCAATAGAGAGCTGGAGTTGTTTGTCTGGCTTTTAACCCGACGTGCTACACCCAAGGAGGATTACGCCAGGTACTGAGTGGTGACTATGATACAAACAGTGATAAAAACACATCTCATACACTCCCACACGGGCACTACACTACTTACGGTCATGGAGCAGTGTAATGAGCGGTTCAATGCATTTCGCGTTGCGTTAATCCCAGTGTTTTTTCTCGAATCACAGGCAGTCACAGACGTCGACGTCGAAGCCTAAGTGGCTAGAGAAGCTTTCGCCGAAATCGGGCGTTCACACCCGTGAACGCGCTCCCGCAATTAACAAAATGACGCCGCAACGCCACCTGTTCGGCGTAGACACTGCGCCGTGTAGCCTAGAGGCAGACAGAAATTGGGCGCCTTTTTCGCTTCTTCAAAAGCCACAGATTCATTTTCCGGCGCCCCGCTGCGGTGGTCTAGTGGCTAAGGTACTCGGCTGCTGACCCGCAGGTCACTGGATCAAATCCCGTCTGCGGAAGCTACATTTTCGTTGGAGGCGAACATGATGTAGGCCCGTGTGCTCAGATTTGTGTGCACGTTATAGTACCTCAGGTGGTCGAAATTTCCGGAGCCTTCTACTACGGCGACTCTCATAATAATATGGTGGCTTTGGGACGTTACACTTCACATATCAATCAATCAATTATTGTTCGGCGCCGCGTTGTTGCAAGCGTTTGATATCGCGAACTAACTCGGTGCCGTGGTTTGCAGGATCCGACCGTGACCGGCACTGGCATTTCTGTTCGCGATTTAGCACGCCTTGGAAGGCTGCCGGATAATCAGTATGCACTTGCTGCTGGCACTTGACCTCAAGGGCCTGACTTAAGGCCGAAGCTCTTGAGAGTGCGGGTCGTTCCCTCGTAATATGTTGTAGTAGCCACTTCTAGTTAGTTTTAAGAATGCTCCTTAGATGGCGTTGTGTGTATATGCCCTTGGAAATAATATGGCGTTAGGAAGAAATTTACAGCATATCCAAGAAGTGAGTGATGATGAGTGGGGCTAAGCGTCCGTCAGTGCATCCGATGCGTGCTTCAGTGTGATAGGAGCAGACAGACAAACGGACGAACATACGCACGGACGGACGCTTCGCGCCACTTATCATCATTTCCTCCGCGGATATGCTGCGATTTTTTCTTGCCAGTACTCCACCATCGGCCAGGCAAATGTGCACCTCTCAGATTCCGCTGAAGGCGCTCTTATGGAGTTGTCCGTGGCACACTCATGTGGAAGGTTTGAAGAGAAAATGATGCCCGCATGCTCCGCGCCATGGCTGCGACAAGATTAACAACGTCACTCACATCGCAGGCAACGGGGCGCGTGCTTGGGTACGACACTGAGAATTACGTAATTGATAGGACAGCCAATGCAGACCGCTCAGGATTGACACCACTGCCGGACAGTTTTTCATTTCTCCTAGCCATATACAGCTTTCCCTGTATTAGTAGATATTAAATAAATAACTATTCTTTCTCTAGCTGCAATCCAAGCTGCAATCTGGGTCCGCAAGTGAGTACTATTAACACTAGGCGACGCGCAGGCGCCTGCTGAATGCGAACTCATCATAGATGGTAAAACTTTAGTTGGTCAGAAAGCAACTGCGGACGATTCCGTGTTAGATGGCCATCAACGCAATGTTGGCGGCGACCTGTGTGGCCCACTCCACGACCCTTAACTGGACGACTGGGTCTGAGCTGGTCAACACGGCCTCTCAGTGCTCAAGAGAGGGATCACGCATAAAATACACCGGCGGCGGCACTATGCCACATTTTAAAGTATGTGATCATAATTTGTCACAGCCGGGCACCATTTGCATTGTGACTTTATCTCCTCCGGGTATATTTTATTCATCACGTAAGGGTTGAACAACCTGCGCGTTCGTCAACGGCTTGTGCGGGGGCAGATAAAACCTCCGCTCTAGTTTATAACGATTCGTTATGTCATGAAAGGACACCAGCCCATTTCTCGCGGATCTCCTCGGAACTGGCGGCTCACCTACCCGGCTGACGAAACCTCGAGCATTCAGGTGAGCCGCCTCGTTCCCAGGGTACCCAGAGTGTGCTGGTACCCAGACAATTTATATATCTCGATTTTCTCGTCCCGTGGCCCCGTTGCGAACTCATCAAAAGCGTACAAATGCCTTCTACAGTCAATGCAAAAACAACAAAAAAGAAACACGGGATTTTCCTTCATCATAGCACTCGGGAGAACACGAAAATAAAAGGTGCACTTACAGAAGTAGTAAAATCTTTACTGTACTGTGTAATGTCCACTGCATTTACTGTAAAGTGTTTACTGATATGAGCTTGTGCAATGTCTATTGGAGTTTTACAGCTATAACACCACTCAAAGTGAATGCGCTCACGTTAACACTTCGTCATACATCCCCATTCGTATGGTTAACATCTATCACTAATAATTAAAACTATTATTGAAAACACAATTATCGTAATAAAACATAATCATAATCATAATATAACCTAATTACAACATAATTAAATCTTACAGAAGTAGTAAAATGTTTACTGTACTGTGTAATGTCCACTGTATTTACTGTAAAATGTTTACAGATATGAGCTTGTGCAATGTCTATTGGAGTTTTACAGCTATAACACTACTCAAAGTGAATGCATTCACGTTAACACTTAATCATACATCCCCATCCGGATGATTAACATCTATCACTCATAATTAAAACTATTGTGTTCATAGCTGCTTGTAGTAGCTGTAGTAGTTAACGGTGAGAGTGGAGCCAGAGAAAAGTGGCGTGACAGCCAGTGCGGGTGAGCGTTAATATGGGAAACGTAGGAGAAAGCCAGGCGATGCCCGCGGGCAGTATGAGTGGATGCCATGAGGGACGCCGACGCTTGGGGTATTTTCGCCACCTGGTGGTGTGTTAAGGCAGTGAAAACATTGCAACGCTCGTAAGGGAAACGCACCAAATGGGATGGACGCTTAGAACCGACGTGCTGAAGAAACTAATCGTGGATGCCACGGTTATTGCGCTTTACTGAACTTTACCAAAAACGATGTGCGAGGAGAGTGGTGGATATAAACGGCAGGTTGTTTAAAGTATACAAAGCATCTGGCCATGGCGCAGTGGATAGCATATCCTCTTTGAGCGCGCCCCGCATCTGTTGTCGTGGACCCAGAGGTAATAGGTTCTACTTCCTTGAAGAAACGTTTTTTCTTTGTCTTATGATTGTGCGTATTTTTTCAACGTCACTTCCGTGACGGAAATATTTCCCTGATGTCTTCGTTCACCATGGCATAAAAAATTTTGTGTTGAAGAAAGAGAAGCAGTACACTTGCTAGGGCCGCCTAATTGAAATAATATGTTAAAGCCAACGTCGACTACAGCTCCTAAGCATTTTTTTACTATAGCAGTTTATGAGCACGTTCAAACGGAAACCTATAAATGCATTCATCCTGGTTTACCGAAAGTAGTAAAGAGGTCACGTAAAGTCGTAGGGGAAGTGTGGCACCATTACAGTGAATGGACACTAAATTAAAAGCGCATGAAGATAGCCATATAGAATTTATATAATTCTTGTAATAAAAACTGCAACATCGCAATCATATTTCAATTTCTGAAAGATAGCTAACCAGATCCGTGATTCGTTAGCCCTCCTCCCCTATGTTTTCCTAGAATTCTTCTTTTTCTCTAGTAAACACTGGCAGTATATGTTGAAATAAATATATTTTGGAGAAGTATATGGAATGGGAAAACTTGTGGCTAGATTCAGACGTCGCTTATCCGTCTTCTACTAGATGACCTGTAGCTGTGTTCTCTCGGATCTTCCCGAGCTGCTAGCCTTAAACTACTGGTCTTTAAAAGTGACAGCAGGTGTGGCTGTGTCGAACGTGCAGGTGCTGTTCTGGGGCCTGCGCGAGTTGAAGCGCGTGCATCTGATGAGCGTGGACCACCCTCGCGTGGACGTCGAGTGCGGTGGTCACGTGCTACAGTCGTCCGTCATCCTCAACTGCAAGAAGAACCCGAACTTCTCCACGCCCGTCAAGTTCCTGGACGTGGTAGGCGCACCGTCACCTAATATAATAGTACAGCAGCTGTACTGTCTTCTGCTCTCCTGCCGTGTCTGCACGCATTACGTTGTTCTTTTTTCACGACAGATCACTACGAAATATCTCGACTTTTGGGTATTTCAATCATGAAGGCTTATATGGCCGAGTGTTCACGAAATACCGTATATGAAATAGATCAAATTCATGCAACATGAACAGTTTTGTCCCGTTGCGTGAGTACTCGTTAATCGTTAGAGGAATACTTAGGCAACCATGCACAGAACAACGCACTTGTCAAAATACGGCTGAAGTAAAAAGACTTTTGTATACGGGAAACGTGTACAGTCGACCACAAAAGTTACAGATCAGGCGAGTGCGTGGCCAAAAGCCTCTTCGTAACACTTCCGCTATGTCAGCGGTGATCGACAGCACCGCGGCGCCTGATATGCATCCCTTCTTTAATCTATGGCCTGTCTGTTTTCTGACTGGTTACAAATAATTTTCACCTTTCACTTTATAACGCGACACGCTTTTTGGCGCCTGCGTCTACGCGCGTCTAAAACCCTTTGATCTTGGGCTTAACGCGCACCTGTCTCAAATGCAGTCTATGAGAATAAATATTATCAGTCACAATCTTCATCAAACAGCGATACCTAGCTATTGCAACGCAGTTCGAAGCATGCCGTAATAGCGTCGATCCTTCTGCGAAAATTGAAGTGTGGCGTTCATACTCCATATAAGCGCTTCTGCATAAAAATGACGAACGTGAACTGTGTTACGAGGCAGTAGAAAATCGAAATTCGGCAGATCCCACGTACCTGGGAATCGACGTTATGCAAAGCAGGCGTAGGGCAGGTGACCATGTTGCAGTTTTTTTGTTTTATTGAGCGACACGTGATGAAATGACGCTAGATATATGTAAAAATGTTGCACGCACAGACATGTGTCTAAGAGTTGAAGATGTTTATATAACCAGTTGTTTGCACTTGCGCAACGTTGCCAGCAGGAACAAGCGTGTTAGCATCACTAGAAGCTGATATGAAGCGCTGATGCTCGCGAGGATGCTGGCCCTGGCCTGCTACATAAATCAACTACAGTGCATGACACCTAACACCAATTGACATTAACCCGACGTGACAGCTGTATCAAAGGAGTACATGCGTAATGTTTTTAAATTTGGGTAGACAGCACTGCAACCACTATTGACGTGTCACGAACATAAGCGTGTACTTAGAAAGTAGTTCCGAGACCTGGCGTAGCTCTGAGGTAAAATGCGTCATTGCCACGCAGAATGCTTGGGTTCGATTCTAGCTGAGACCACGATATTTATTCTTTGAATTCATACGGTCGACGCTTACGATGTCGGGTATTTCTTCATGATCACGCGTTAATATTGCCCATGTGTGTTCTCATCGTTCCTGCGTAGATACTAAGTGTCATCACCTGTGGCACATACGCGCATACCAACGGAACATACCCGTCCATGGGTAGGTGCCTCTGTCTGGCGGGAAGTGTTCTACGACGTACGCGACGGAATAGTGACATTATTCATGCCTTGACCAGCACGTCATATTCATCAAACCATCTTACCCTCCCATGTTAATTTTGGTTCACGCCAAGTTAAGGGGGTGACCACGAGAGCACCCTAAGGTAAGCGGCTAGATAGATAGATAGATAGATAGATAGATAGATAGATAGATAGATAGATAGATAGATATGCTCAAAGTCTCCGAAGTTCGCCAAGAAAATGCTTCGCGTTTAAAGGAGGATCCATTTCCGGTCTAGCACTTCGGTTGATGGTAGATTGCGCACCGATAGATGGCGTGGACAGGCAGTTTGGCACGTGCTCTTGTGTTCCGCAAACTTTCGCAGCTTAAGCAACAGAGCAGCTGCCACTTACGCAGTAGCCTCGTGGCTTTCCTTATGCTGCCACTCTCGTTATCTTTTTTTTTTTGTAGAAGTCTTCAGCGTCAAAGTACAAGCTTGAATGGGCCACATACCATAGGTGACATTCCAATCTAGAGCATTTGTTCGACATGTCGTCCTTAGGCGCTGCCGGACCAAGAGACGTACTGCCCGCCGCTGACGATCCGAGTCATCGACTGTCGCAGCTTCGGGCGCTTCACCCTGGTGGGCACGCACGTGGTCAACTCCCTGCACAAGTTCCTCTTCCGGCCCCAGTCACGATCGTCATCCAGGGACCACCGAAACAGGAGCGCCTCGCAGACCTCCTCCTCGCTGCACATCGGTGAGCCACCCTCGAAGCACCCTACGGCGCTTGACGCGTATTAAGTCTGTTGCCCTCGAGTCATGCGTGACTAGAGTGGCAGCAGTACGAATAGCGTTGAGATTCAGGGAAAGATGAGAACATCGAGCAACAAAGCGTCGTTGCAACGCTGCATGCCTTTGAGAGAGAGCAAAAACATTTTATTATTAAGTACATTTAGGCAATTTGAAGTCAACGTTTCTATAAACAGAATTTTCTTGGTAAAGCAGTTGCAGCCTTCAAGAAGGCAATTCTGCTTGTCGAAACGTTAATTGCAGTCACATGCCGCGCTCCAGTGATTTTTCAGGGCGAGAGCAGATGATATGCGGATCTTTAGTTGACTGTTCTACATGCTATACAGGTGCAGCCACCGCTGCCCTATGCATTTGCTATGTTTTATTGTTATGTGGTGGAGTTATTCATGGTGTGTAGTCCTGATAATGCGTGTGGACTCTCAACCGTGACGGCGCCACTTTGTGCATTCAACTTCATTACCAAGTGGCGTACTCATGAGCGGAAAGCAATAGAGACGCGTCTAGTGAATATGCCTGTAGTCACAGTTGTATGTGTTTACCATGCCGTCATGCCTTATATTTGCACACACTTTAACAATATCGTGGGGTTCCATAAATTCACGTGAATTGGCTAAACACCATTGCATGGTGTTATGAATGCCACTGCATTAAACGGCATATTCAGGTAAAAAACTTCGATTCCTCATCATGCAGGAAACCTCACCATCGGTGATGGTCTTCCCGTGACGTGACATCGGCGATGAGTAATGTAATCATCGCGTGTTGACGTCTTCATATGACAAAATTGCGACGTAAACCTGTGACGCCATCATGACGTCATCATAATTTGGCATGATGTCACGTTACGTAACGCGACACGGTGCCGTTGTAGCACCTTCCTGTGTGCGGCGAACTAAATCAGAGAGCACGTGACCTGAAGAGAAGAAAATGAAAACGGCGCTTGGCAGCGTCACGCGAATCAATGGCTCTTGCTTCCTGCTGCCTTATAAAAACCGACTGAGAAAAAAAATTTGAAATAGCTTTCGCCTAAGAGTCATCTTAGGTGAACACACAAGGGTGATTTGATGAATAATGTTGTCGCCCTGCCTCGTTGACTGCCAAAACGAATACACCAATACACGAGATCACTAAATAGTATTCTGGTACTAACAAGAGAAATATACAGCTGAGCACATGAAATTCGTATGAAACGATTCTCATTAGCGTTGATACACCGGTGGCATCACAAGGAGATACGAGCAACGTCATGATACCTAACAAAGACAACAACAATAAAGAAATAGAACGTTGTCATGTTCTAGTGCTGGTGTACTCGTTCTCAAACGCTTTGAGAAGAAAATGAAAATAGTTTTCGCCTAAGAGTCATCTTAGGTAAACGCGCAAGGGTGCTTCGATAAATAATGTTGTCGCCCTGTCTCGTTGACTGCCGAAACAAGTCCACTGATACACGAAATCACTAAATGGTATTCTGGTAGCAATAGGAAAATATGCAGCTGAGCTCATGTAATTTGTATGAAACGATTTTCAGTAGCGTTGATACACCGGTAGCATCATAAGGAGATACTAGCGATGTCATGGTAGCTAACAATGACAACAACAACAATAAATAAATAGAATGTTGTCATGTTGTAGTGCTCATGTACTCGTTCTAAAGTGCTTTGATACTGTACACGGACATAGATAAATCGCACCATCTCCTACTTTTTTTTTTAGAGGATGGTGTCCTGGTGGACCTTGACGCGGATTCCAACATACTCTCGGCAAAGGAAACGCTAATAACGCTGGACTATGTAAGTGACGCTCGTCTCATGGATGTTCACAATGTAGGTAAAACCAACGAGTCTTCTTGTGAAATAAGCTGTCATTTGCATACTTCTAAGGAGCAGTTAGGTGTCCTGCAGGATATCGCGCAAGTTCCTAACGCTGTGTCTGTCAATGACTAGGCAGCTTTTGCTGAATGGTCATATTGAATCATACAGGAAATGTTGAGACATCAAGTCTTAAACTTCATTTCTTAAGAGATGGACAATGTGTCGAAGGTCACATGAATTTTAATCGGTGTTTGCTATTGCAAATACGAATACAAACCGCATATTTTGAGACTGTCGATTTCAGTATGGATGTACTGTTTCAGTGTCGATGTGGAGGAAATATTGCAACGTTACATTAAAAGAAGTGAGCTTAAAGTGCGATGGTTCACCTAGTAAGAGAATAGCTTAGGTGATGTCAATACGTGACAGTATTTGTAAGACATTAATGTTCCAAAACCTATGTAATTATGGGATGTAAGTTTTACGTCCCTTAGACCCGTGCATTTAGCGTTGAAAATTCAGAGTTACACCTTCGCGTTATATAAAAAAAAACCACTGCGCACTCCTTGCATTCATGACCAGAGTAGTATGAGACCAGCGCTACGCCAGATACTACAGATAGTTTTGCACACGTGATATGTAATGCGAAGTATGGGGGGGGGGGGAGGCACATGGTATGCTTACAATACATCAAAGTAAGTACTATCTGGACAGTTCGTTTGGTTGTTATATTTAGTTATATTTGTTATATTTAGTTAGAGCATGTGTAAGGGAAGTGCTAACGCGTGGGTTGAGACGTCTGCCACCACGCTATCAGCGGGCTTCTGCCCGCTAAGTATACAATGGAATCCAGTTGTAATGGAAGAGGTTGAGTTGTTCAATTCTCGTGGTGCGTGGGCTATGATACCGCCGGCATCCGGTCACTTTAACGAGATGAGTGTCACGCGAAAGGAGAAATTCTTTGTGGTGCCAGAGAATTTCGCGATAAATTTACTAAACTCCCTCGTAGCATTACGATGTTTGGATATATAAGGCAGATGGTTGTTAAATATCTCTAGGAGAAGCCTGGGGCCATCAGCGCTTATTAGTAAATGATGATCACAATGCGCCGGGATGGGCTCTTAAGCCACGACGCTTGTCTTTGTTGATGGCACCAGGGATTCAAGAGCAAGAAAGAGATGAAGAGTGAGGCAAACAGAAGGAAGAAAAAGATTGCGACAGAGGACCCTGGACACGACGAGGAGAATCGGGACTGGTGGAGCCGGTACTTTGCATCAGTAGAGCAAGCCGCCAAGGTGAGCAGTTGCTTGCTGTTAAGCGGCTGTGAAAATGTCTTAGATCGGAAATTGGCATGACATTCTCGTGATGTCTTTTTGACGTTCTCGTGACTTCTTTGTGACGTAGCTTCGTTTGTATGCTGGGACCGTAATCTGTAGCATAGCATCGGATGAATCTTCATGCTCATTGCGTGGAAGTGTTGTACTATACACCGTTGCCGCAGTGGCTATGTTGGCTGCTCTTTGGGGCTGGCAGTGCCCTAATTTTGTAAGGAACTATTCGTCGCTCATTGTTGTTATCGAAAATGTTTTAACCTTATTTAGCGCGAAGGGTGGAGGTAGTACGCTGTTTACGATGCGATGTCATGTTTTTTTTTTACTTTTTTATGAGGTCATGGGGACTTGTCAGACTGATCATGTCACTTTACTGCACTGAACCACCTCTCACAGTTTATAAGGTCGCAATAAATTAATACTGCTACTAGAACTGATTGTGATACCTCTGAGAAGCTGCTCCGATCTTTCGCGACTTCACAGTTTCGGCAAGAAGTTTGAACTTGATGTTTCAAATTTTGATTAAACATTCACTTCGGTTGCGCATCAAACATATATCGTCTTTAATATTGTCGTCTGTGAGACTCGCAGCACCAGGTTTCGAATGAGCACCAAAATGTTACTGTCAGAGCATTCTCACTTGTGGCAAGAGAGCGAACTTTTTCTTACGTTTTCTGCTCTCGTGCAGCCAGCCATTTGTGCTGTATATAATGGCCGTTATGAAACCGACCGCTATGATGACTGTTATAAGATTAGGTACCTGCCTGAACCATACATGGTTGCGACAACCTTTTTTGCACAAAACTGGGTCAGATACAGTTTATTCTGTTTGAAACAATCGATTTCACGCAATAAATCACCTTTTGCAGGACTCTAGCGACCAGAACGGACTGCCCGGCAACAACTTAAGAGCTGGTGACGACAACTACGACATGTCTAGCGACGGAGGTATGTGAAAGTGTTACACCATCAAAAACGCAGAATCGCATGAAAAGTTTCCTACGTAATGTGGCAGGTCGGGTCATGCAATGCATTGAACAGATAACCATTGTTCCAACAAACTGTTTAGGCATAAATTTAGGCATGGTTTTAGCGATAATACTGCCGTCCCTTCGTTTCCTTTTTTGCTAATGTCATTTTTCTTTCATGCTCAAATTCCATGTCCATTTGCCTCCATGGTCAAACTAAGCTGCGTTAAAGCAATACAAGATTGTCGTGAAGCACACACCCGTTATAGAGTATTTATTCACTAGAATAGCAAACAGCTGACCTATAGTTGGTTGGTTAGACGGGGTGTGCCAACGCGGGTTGAAGAGAGAAGTCGGTGTTTGTGGTATCTTGACTTTGCTCACGCGGTCATGTTTGCACGTCCTCTATCTTTTCTCACTGAATGGTAACATTGCTTCCCATGTATTTTGCGCCACACCATATGTGACCATCGCGAAGAGAGTCAACTCAGTGCCAAAGACATGCGGAAGATGGAGAAAGAGCTGGAACGACTGGAGCACCACAAAGATGGGACGGAAAAGAAGAGGAGAACGTTCAAGGGCGCCTCGAGCGCCGTTCGGTTCGCCCAGCGACTGTCACCCAAGACGCAGAGAGGCCGCATATCCCAAGACGGACTGATAAAGGTGAGAAGAGCCGCACGCTTGGGGTCTTAAAAGCTGCAATAACGAAGTTAAACGTAGGCGTAGTCAAATTCAACACCAGTACGTCATGCAGTGGTGGAGAATCAAGATACACATTAAGCGCGAGACAGACGTGCGATTTTCCGTGCGATGCGGCCGGCGTGCGGCGTCGCATGGTGCGGCGTGCCGCATGCGACGTTTCGGGACACACGAGGGCAGCGGCAGGCTCCGCCCCCATGCGGCGCCTCGGCATGCAGGATCGAACGACTTGGTATCCTCGTAATGAGGCTCAAAACAAACAACATTGCACCGCCACGCTTCGTTCTATAAAAATAATTAATGAATCGCATTCGTGAACGACAAGCACGTCGTAACCACGGCAACAGCTGATTATTCACGACTCCGACAGGTAGGCCTATAGCATCGCGGGCGGCGGCCGTCGCCTTCGCCGTTCACACGCGAGCTCGTCGTCGAGCGCTTGTTTTTGACAACACTATCAAGCATTGCGCTCGTATGGAATGCGTTAGCATACATTATTACTTCATCGATGCCATCGATGTGAAGAGCAAATGTGGAAGCGAAGCGAGCCAGCGCAGAGACGCCGGTAGCTGTGTTTACCTGCGAAATGACTTTGCATCGCTTCTCTCGATCTCCGATCTCGCTAGCGGTTTCAAAACGGGCGTTGTCGTGCAGAAAAGGCACACTTCGAGCATCACTTTATTCAATCCGGAGTAATATCACGTCACCAGGGAAATGTACTCGTTGTCACGCTGCCGCAGTCGGCGATGTCAGAATATCCACGCTCGCACCGCTCCATTGATTCGCCTGGAGCCTTGGACCATGGGTGATGGGAGCGGCGACAGGGAGATGGCGCCACTAGCATCGTGACGCCAGTCGTATGCTCGCGCTGTGATTGGCTGTTGTCTTGCGGTGGTGCGACGCTGCGACAAAAATATCTGGCCGGTTCGATGCACGCCGCACCGGCTATGCGGCGGTGCGACGCGATGATACGTCACGAAACGTCACCACTCCGGCAGTCGCATCGTCGCACCGCACGCGGAATCGCAGAGAAAATCGCACGTCTGTCTCGCGCTTTAAGCTGCATGGAAAGCAAAGCTGCGTGATGCCCTCCAGTGCATTTCGTTTCCAATCCTTATGCTTTAGTTAGGGTCATCTAATATGCACATCAGTTCACAAACCTTTTATGATGTTATGCACATTTCCAAACTTTTTAACAGGGTATCATGTATTTTCACCTTTTACAAACTGCTGTCATTTTTACTTGTTAGATTAGTTCAATCTGCCGTGGTGTTATATTGGTTACGGAGCTCGGTTGTTGATCCGAAAGTCACGGATTCGATACGGTCCGCGTTAGTCACATTTCGAGTGGGTCTAACATCAAGCGACCGATGTGCTTTGCGATGTAGGTGAACGTGTTTACAAGAATCATTATCTGTCACTCAATGTGATTGTGTACATAAAATAGTCGTTGTTAGCTCTCGCTTATCCGGCTTTCACCGTTCCAGATCTACCATTTCCGGTGGAGGCGGAAATGTTGTAGGCCCGTGTGCTCAGATTTGGGTGCACGTTAAAGAACCCCAGGTGGTCTAAATTTCCGGAGCCCTCCACTACGGCGTCTCTCATAATCATATGTGGTGGTTTTGGGACGTTAAACCCCACATATCAATCAATCGTTCCAGATCTACCCCACAGAACTCGAGAACGTACCCGAGTTCAATGGCTTCCGAGAGTGGCTGCACACGTTCGAACTGTACCGTGGCAAGCGAAGCGGTGATGACTTGGACGACCAGAACAGGGTCGTCGGCCTCTTCAAGGTATTGTCGACCTCCCCTGTTGATTCTTTTTTTTTCGTTCAGTGAAATGCGTGGGGTGCTTTCTCTGGCACCGTTTCTTGCTATTACCGGTAGCCACACAAATGTGGCATACACATGTGCGCCAGTCCACTGTCTGGAGCTTTCATCAAAAGTTCCGGAGAAGTTTACGGAGTCACAAGCATACTCATACGTGTGAGGGCATAGCCAGAATTTTTCGTCGGACGGACACGCGGATGGACAGACAGACAGACAGACAGACAGACAGACAGACAGACAGACAGACAGACAGACAGACAGACAGACAGACCCCTTCGCCCCACTCATCATCATTCACACCGTGGATATGTCGTGATTGTCTTTCTTCTAGAGGAAGAGGTGTGTTAGCGGAAGTGCTCAACCACCCTTTAAGAAAGTTTCAGTGTCTGGTTGTAAGTGCCCGCATTTATACATACACAAAAAATCGGGAATCTCAAGGGATGTGCGAGCCTCCACCCCCTCCTTCACCTTTCCCCCCCAGGCCATGCCAATGATCCTGTGGGCCAGCACTGTGTGATATACTCTAGTTAGAGTATACCACAGGAACTGTCATAAATGTACAAGCAATCTAAAACAAAAACCACGAATAATTTGTAAGAAATGTTCCATAAGGAGCCATTACAAGATTTTGGTAATCAATACATGGCTTCTTTAAGCTCAATACTAACATGTGGTACTGTTGTTTTGAGCTTTCTAATGACATCGAACTGTTAATTAGCTAGGATCAACGTTGCCAAACTCTCTTTGTAATACTGTCTATTGTTCCCAGTTTTTAATGTAGCAACTATTGCCATCGATTTCCAGAGTCCGGTACGATCTAACGTTCCAGTGCCGTGGCAGTTTGCCTTAGGGAGATTTGGATATATTTATTTTATACAGAAAAACTTTCAAACTCCACGTCGCTGTTGTAATATTGCTTTTGATTTCACAACATCAAGTAATATCAACGCAGTTGAGTCGGGAAGCTCGTTTCGCAGAAGTTCCGGCGTTGGTGTGGGCGTCGGCATCGTTGACTGTCAGCGCAAATTCACCGTGTTTGTGACAAAAAAATTATAAAGATGTAAATAAAATAGTTTTCACGCCGATGTGAGAACAGATCACGGACCATGTGTGGGGCAAGCGGTCGTTCTACCACAGAGCCACGTCATATATTTTTTCTTACATGGTATTTATTACAAATGAGGCCTACGTATATACGTAGCATACAAAATACTTACGACCACCTCGACAAGCGTACGATAGGAATTGAAAAAAATCAAATCCACATCACACTGTGTCCTCAAACGGTATTTGAGCTGTGCACTTCATGAACTGTGGATACCAGTACGGATGAACTTAGGATACCAGTACGCGCATTAGGCATTCTAGGATGGTTTGAAACGACCCAATGTAATGCATGCAAACGTTCCTTTCTTTGCGGCATGGCTGAACGCAGTGCACACGGAGCCCCAATAAGCTGTCGCGTTCTACTATTGAACGCGAAGCTGAAGCGTCCTCTTATTTCTTTGTATAGAGGATGGTCTTTCTTGGGGACCTTGGACGGAAAAATTTTGGTCTGTCTGTCTGTCAGTCTGTCTGTCAGTCTGTCTGTCTGTGCATTTGTCTGTTTGTCCGCCCAAACGATACCTCAAACGGCACCAAACGGCCAACCCTATCCGCAGCACCCACCAATATTGCTCAAGGTTTAGCGTTCATATTTGTGTGATTGTCAATTAAAAAAAGCAAGTAGTGCGCATTTCTGAGGCGCCCTAACAATAGGTCTATGTTTTGTATGTCTGTCTTTATACTAGAAGAGGCACACACAAGTAACTCTAAGGAATGTGTAGCGTTTATCGCGCTGCGCTGACAGTACAACGCGATGCTCAAGAAGGCGTTTCCAATGCCATGCTACGATGACACGGTGGTGGCACCTGCCCGTCGCTTTGCATTCTACACCTTATGACCTCCGTGACTGGCGCGCATCTTTCTCCGTGGTCGCGCACGCCTTTGTTTTTGAAGATAACTGCCAGATGGCATTCGTGTCTAACGTGCCTAGATGCGCTTGTTTGCCTCGGCTACACGCTCGAGGCACTCCAACGCAGCGCCTTCAGAACACCAATCACAGGTTTTCTTGCGCAGAACATCAAATGAACGTTTTGTTCACTCTCTCCAAACGCAAGACTATCGACTTTCGACGTCATTTACAGTGTAACATGTAGATTGGTGCCAATTTTTTTTATTACGATACTTAACCTTTTACTGCCGAGTGTCGCAAATTCGCGACATACCAAAAAACTTCAAGCAAGCAAGTCACGAAATTCATGCCACCTTTAATGCCAGCTGTCAAGTACTCAAGGGGAATGTAGCTTTCAGCATATGAAATCTAGCGCTGTCTCGAGTAAAGTAATCTATGCTAGAAGCGTCTTGCGTAGCTGATGGTAGAAAGTGTGAAGCATGCGCAACAGCTCTCACTTTTTCATTCTTTCTCGCCTGAGTAACGTAAGTTCAATCTTCAATAATGTCGTTTATTTGGTGTGTGCACACCCAAGATGAGACCCATGACACGCTACGTAGTTCTTAAACACGTTTTTTGTTCCAAGGTCTTCGCTTCTGTGACATATGAAGAATTCGCGACATGCCTAAATGTATGCATTAAATTTGTGTTTTAGATAATTTAACTTCAGAATAAATTAAAGGTTGTTCTTTAAAGTCATGAAATTAAAAGAATTTTCATTTCATTTGGCTCTTTCATAATTCAGGCAATAAAGCGTTAAAGGAACACTAGCAGAAAACTTCAAAGTCAAGATTATGAGTGAGACAGATTTATGTGGATACATACACAACATCTATGATATATCAAGGGTAAATATAGCCTATAACATATTTAAAATTAATTTTAAAGTGCATGCCACGTGACTGCGCGAGATGCGGAGCCCCCTCGCGGCACCAACATCAAGGCAAAGGCAATCTAGCGAAACCCACGTCATGGATTTGTATTGGCTTGTTGGGGGCACGCTCCTTGCGCTTTCGCTACTTGCGATTTCCTCCTCCCTGCCGGCTTCGCGTGTGCTGGCTGCGCTGGATGTCAGTACGGCACCCGCTTGGGCGCGGTGCCCACGTCACAGATTTGCATGGTCACGTGACCAACTGTGTCTCCCTTGGCCCCGGAACTGCTCCTGCCTAGGTCAGTGCTCCTTGAAGCCGAAACTGAAACGTCTAATCATCGCGCACTCGTGCAAACAAGGGTTTTTTTTTTTGTCACCGTAATAAATCTGCCATAAGATACCCATTGCAACAACAACAACAACAAAATAAAAACATGGTGCAGAATTTTTGTGTCAGTGCTGCTTTAATACAGGGCATGTGGCCCACTGAGCGTGCACATGTTGCACCTAAAGCACTGTTAAAGCTGCCTGATACGTGGCTCTCTTATCTCCCCTTATCTTGGTAAGGGTTCCCTACAAGTCTACCGGTTCCCACTGCCAAAAGACATCCAAGACTACACGATAACGGGTGCCGATCCGACGTACGGGCTGTTCCAGGGACTGCCCAGTAACGATCCCATTCACGTTCTTATCAGGGTCTACGTCGTCAAGGTAAGTGGCCGATATCATTCTCTAAAAGCAACCTTTACTGAACAGTGCGAAGTTTGAGGTTTGTTTCTATAAGTAGGGAAATTCAGAACAAGTGAAAATTCGCGCGGCCCCTCAGCCGAATGCTAGTTGGGGGCCTTTTAAAAGTATGCAGAAGTGTATACAGATAATGTGTGGTAAGCAGTAATGAACAAAGATACATAATTTTCGAGTCGGAAGGTAGGGAAGTGTTTACGTTACTTTCGAGAGCTTTGTCGCACTTTCATTGTCCTCCAATACGGATATAACAAAAGGACGACAATTAAGCGAGAACAGAAAAAGTAGTGACGTAAGCTAATCTCATCCCTCAACTCATAGAAGCAGAGTTTGTTGTCCGATATAAAGAAGCATGTGCTAGAAAAGATCCACAGATTGCATGGTTCACAAATGCCACGTAAGTCCTTTGATCATCATCGTCACAGATTATTCACAAAATACCAAAATATTTGCGAATAAAACAAGTCGAATACGGCTCACAGTTTTACTTTAGCATGACATTAGAGCAGCCGTTTCCACGAAAACTACGCTTTGAAATTAAGCTAGGCCATTCTAATTCGGTATTCAGTACAAATCTGCCTATTTCATTTTGCTTTGTTGCCCTGTATGATTTCGTAAGGCTTTGGTAGGGTCTAGGGACACCGGATCGGAAAAAGCAAAGCCTCTGAGATGAAGACACCTTTCGCGGCTTCTTCACTAGGGGTAGAATTCATGCACCGGGTCATTGTAAAAAAAAAAGTGCATTGTAAATATATAACATAGGCGTATGGTATGACTTTTCCTAATTTGAATGTTGGTACCTTAAAAGCTTGCACGTTTCTTTACTTCCACGTCCTATCACGAGTTGTCACCTCAAAGTAACATAATACACCAGCTACGCCAAAATGTTTCAGTTTATTGCTGCTATTTAAATGGCTATAAAAAACAACGGCGAGTTCACGTCTTCTGACGCTTTTCTGCACTGTTCCGCATATATTCCAATCATCGCCCTTCGCAGTAACCGGCATAAATATCGGGTGTCATAAAAAAAGTTATAAGCCACGAACAATTCTGTTAGTTTTGCTAGTGTAGAGAGCATAGAAACAAGACCGTACTACACGTAAATTGTAGAGATCTTCAATTAGTTTCCTTTGCTGAAAATGCGCATACGTAGGAACGGTAGTATAATTTATCGAATTTGCTATACAATCGATAACTTTCTACCTCAGGCGACAGATCTGCATCCAGCAGACATGAATGGCAAGGCGGATCCCTACATCGTCATCAACCTGGGAAGCAAGAGGAACAGCGATAAGGAAAACTACGTGTCAAAGCAACTTAATCCAGTGTTCGGAAAGTGAGTACTCTTTTTTTTTTAGTATAGAACAAGATTTGACTCCTCATTATCTCCCAGTTTACCCTCTTCAAGCAAAATAAGACATATGGAGTGCAAAAAAGACGGTTTCAGCTCCTCCTTGCCGTTTTACACCTTGGTGTATCTGATTGCCAGATATAAAAGTGACGAGATCGTTTGTGCATCAGCAGCATAGGAGAACTGGGACTAAGTGCGTGACAGTTTCCTTCATTTGTGCCTGTTTGTATCGTTTTGTGCGTATTCTCTGCGACGACGACAAGTATGCAAGCGAAGAGCTATGGCTAGTTCATACGCCGCATGACTCCATGCGCATCCAGGTAATGTACGACTGTCACGGCTCTCCCCATCGCATTATGTTGTTTGTTCCAAAACAATTATGAACTATGCAGAGTATTGAATACTGTATCACAGAAGGTTAAAACCCGATACCAAGGATTTTATTTTTAAATTTTTTACACTATGTAGAAAAAGACATTCATGATAAACATTTCATTCATCCAGGAGTAGGTACCATATGACACAACTACGTGTCTCGTCCAACTTCTTCACTATCTTATAGCGAAATGAACATTAATTTGCTGTTTACGTCTCAGATAGCACGGAGACAACACTCTACACGTACTTTGTCGAATGCTCATTATGCTGTCAAATTTCCTGCGATGCCGTAAGCGTTGACCTTAGGGGTTACTCAAAGTAGAGCATAAATTTCGCAAAAAAACCGTGTGATCAGTGTCATTCAGAAATCGAAATGCTGTTCTGTGGTGCGATGATGACTGGAGTGCTAGTGATCTTTTAGGCTAACATAATTACTGCGACTACATCTAACGCGTTTTCGGGGAGTTTTCGCATTTTCCAGAGAAAGTTGTATATGGCTGGGAGAAACGAAAAACCGTCCCCGGAAGTGGTGTCACAAGTGGTCTTCATTACCTTCTTATCAGTTACGTCGTTCGCAGCGTCTTACCCAAGCACGCGTGCCATTGGATGCGTTGGGAGGGTCGTAAACCGTCCATCCCGTTGCGCCGAGTACGTGCCAGTTTCTCCCGAAACTCTTCACATTGGTATGCCTCGGACAACTCTAGAAGAGCGCCGTCAGCTGAAACGTGTGAGAGCTCCCATTCGTCTGGCCCACGGTGTAAGAAAAAATCATTTTCGGGTCGAAGTTGCAGGCAGGGCACAATAACAGGTGCGGGAGGCCGAGTCATGGCTGCAACGGCGTATTGATGATCCGGCAGCCTCCCAGGCCGCTCGAAATTGCGATCAGGAATGCAAGCGCCGGTGACGGACTGAACCTGCAAACCACGCCGCTGAGTTGAGCCGACGCCTGCTCTAGAAAGATGACTGCCGCATGAGAAGAAAAACAGCTGCCACACCCTTTCCCTCCTTCATTTTAAAAATGTTCTCGGTCGCTAGCGTCACTTGTGGCGGACGTGCAACAACGCAACACTTTGCATAGCCTCCGAAACAGCAGTGCACAGTTGCAGGTCTCGAACAACTTTCGACAGACGCGCCCCTATGGGCCGCAGAAGAAAAACGCTCAGCTGGTACCGCCCGCCGCCATGATGATGGATGGATGGATGGATGGATATGGCTGTACCCGTTAGATCGGGCAGTGGCTAGCGCCGCCAAGCCGTAATACTTAATTAACCAAAAACTAGATTTATTTTTATTTTCTTTAAAATGTGAGTTTGGGGATTCGTACTTTACAGTGAAGAGTTTAATTTCCACTCGTGCCTTGACTTTAGCCACCAATCAGATAACCTCCTTCTAGTTAAGCCTACCCGCTTAAAATCTATTTTGCCCTCCCGGTCCCTAAACCCCAGTGCTTTGAAAAACTCTGCGCCATCATCCTGAACTATAGGGTGAAGCCCTTTACAGAATATTATCAAGTGTTCGGAAGTTTCTTCTTCCTCTCCACACGCACTACATACTGTGTCTACCCCTTCGTACTTGGCCCGATATGTCTTGGTTCGCAGTACTCCCGTCCTGGCCTCAAACAGTAGAGAACTACCCTGAGTGTTATCATAGATTCTTTCCTTGGCAATCTCCTGCTTAAAAGTTCGATAGATATCTAGTGCGGACTTCTTAATCATACCCATTCTCCACATGTCAGTCTCCGTTTCCTTCACTTTCTTCTTAACCGAAAGTTCTTTTTGGTTTGGCAACCTGCTGTTTTCTAAGTATTTACCAGTCAATTTCCTGGTTCGCTTCCTCCATTTTGTATCGACATTCTTCGTGTACAAGTAGCTGAAAACCTTCCTGGCCCAACGCTCTTCCCCCATTTCTCTCAATCGCTTCTCAAATTTTATCTTGCTGCTAGCTTCCCGGCCCTCAAATGATGTCCATCCCATATCACCTTGTACTCCCTCATTTGGTGTATTCCCGTGAGCTCCTAAAGCAAGCCTACCTATTCCACGTTGCTTAATTTCTAATCTTGCTAGAACTTCTGATCTCGTGCACAAGACCACATTGCCGATCAGCCCAGGAACCATGACCCCTTTCCATATTCCTCTCACAACATCATACCTATTGTAATTCCACAGAGCCCTATTTTTCATCACTGCTGCATTCCTGTTACCTTTAGTCGTCACGTATATTTCGTGTTCCCTCAGGTACTCGGTCCCATTGCTTATCCATACGCCCAGATATTTGTATTTATCTGTTATCTCTAGCGTCACCTCCTGTATTCTGAGCTCACTACCTTCGTTGTCATTGAAAATTACGACTGCTGATTTTTCCTTACTGAATCTAAAATCTAACCTATCTCCCTCATTACCGCAGATGTCCATCAATCTCTGCAAATCTTCCTTGTTGTTGGCCATTAGCACTATATCATCTGCGTACATTAATGCTGGTAGTGCCTGATCAATAAGTTTTCCTTGTTTGACTAAAGAGAGGTTGAAGCCCAGTCCACTTCCCTCTAATTTGGCCTATAATCCTTGTAGGTACATAATGAATAATAAGGCTGACAGGGGACACCCCTGCCTAAGCCCCCGTTTTACCTCTGCAGGCTTGGATACCTGTTTTTCCCACTTTATAACTACCTTGTTACCTTTATAGATACCCTTTAAAAGATTAGTGACTACATGTTCCACGCCTAGTGGAAAGACAAAGAAGACTACGACAAAGAAGACTACGAGGAAACAGAAAAAATTGTTAAAGAATTTTTTTCCGCGCACCTTGAGTTACAAGTTGGTGACATTGAACGCGCCCATCGCGTCGGTAAGCGACGCCCGCATTTTGATCGACCCATTATAATCAAATTTCTAAACTTTAAGTCCAAAACCGAGGTCTTGCGCAATGCCCCGAAACTGAAAAACTTGGATTTTCCCAAGGTTTGGATTGACGAAGATTTCTCGCCGAAGGTGCAGATGGCCCGTAAACGGTTGAGGGATTTTGCAAAGCTTAAGCGCAAAGGAAGCGAGCGTTATTCGGTTCGCTTTAACTGTTTGTACATTTGGGACCGCGTTTTTCGATACAACTTTGTCACTGATAGCGTTGTCGAAGTAACTCCCAGACAGGAATTCACGCCCCATGCAATAAAACCCCAAGGCAGTTCTCTTAATGAAGTCTCTCCGCACCAACCTCTCGCTGATTGACAAACTACCTCTTCTAATCGAAACTCCACCTACAAATCTGAAGTAACGTTGCTCCTAATAAATTTTAGGAGCATTTTAAATAAGCTAGACACCCTAAATTCCTTCTTGTACACATGTTCCGCCGACATTTTGATCGGTACGGAAACGTGGCTGTCGGCCGACATTTCGAACTCTGAACTTAACTTTCCTGCACAGTTTACAGTTTTTCGCAAAGACAGATCGGTATCTAAAGGAGGAGGAGTAATTATAGCTGTTAAACAAGAATTCCAACCGTCAGATATCGCTTACGACTCGTCCATCGAAGCAATCTGGGTTACTGCGCAGTCAGCTCACACCACCGTAATTATCGGTGCCTGCTACCGACCCCCCGATAGCGGTCCAGAGTTCGTCGACTTGCTGAATGATTCACTCGAGTATGTGCATGCCCATTATCCGAATTCTGTTCTTATTCTCGGCGGCGACTTTAACTACCCAGGCATAGATTGGGCATCTTCTTCTGTCAGCAGTAACAGCTCCCACCATCACGAATGCTTGCGTTTTCTACATTTGACACACGTCCACCTCATGACCCAGTTAGTAACAGAACCTACACGTGGCGATAACATTTTAGATTTACTTTTCACTAATAATTCCCAGGAAGCTCTTACCCACGTGCTTGAAGAAATTAGCGACCACAGAGTTGTCCATTGTTCACTATATCTACCACGCGCCGACAAATCAAAGGTAACTAAGCAGTTATTGAATTACGCATGTGCTGACATCGATAAGATGAACCGTATGTTAGATGATTTTATACCAATATTTGAGTCAAGTTTTGAACATCGCGCTGCAAACGAAAATTGGCTTCAATTCCGTGACACACTAAAAAAAATAGAAGAATGCTGCGTCCCGAAACTAACAATCAGCACCAAAACAAATGACCCGTGGTTCACACGCGATGTAAAAAGATGCCTAAATAGGAAGAAACGAGCTTTTAAAAGGGCTACACGAACTAATACTCCGGAAGATTGGCTTAAATATAAAATCTTTCAAAACAAGCTGAGGCCTCAATAAAAGAGGCCAAGGAAAAATATTTTAACTGCACCTTACCTAACCTTTTGAAAACTGACCCCCAGAAATTCTGGCGCGTGGTGAACCCTACAGCCTACCCTTCTGAGCCAACTCTACTGAGTGATCAAGGCAAAGCGTTGTCGCCAGAGGAAAGTGCTGAATGCTTCAACGAATTTTTTTGCATCTGTGTTCACGGAAGAACTTCCACTAGACTCACTGGCACTGTTAAAACCTACCATTCACGACCCTTTTTCTTCAATTACAATAACTGAAAATGGTGTCGCACAAGCTGTACAACGCCTTCCTCGCAAGACTAGCCCGGGGCCCGACGGAATT